GAGAGAGAGAGAGAGAGAGAGAGAGAGAGAGAGAGAGAGAGAGAGAGAGGAGAGAGAGAGAGAGAGAGAGAGAGAGAGAGAGAGAGAGAGAGAGAGAGAGAGAGAGAGAGAGGAGAGAGAGAGAGAGAGAGAGAGAGAGAGAGAGAGAGAGAGAGAGAGAGAGAGAGAGAGAGAGAGAGAGAGAGAGAGAGAGAGAGAGAGAGAGAGAGAGAGAGAGGAGAGAGAGGAGAGAAGGAGAGAGAGAGAGAGAGAGAGAGAGAGAGAGAGAGAGAGAGAGAGAGAGAGGAGAGAGAGAGAGAGAGAGAGAGAGAGAGAGAGAGAGAGAGAGAGAGAGAGAGAGAGAGAGAGAGAGAGAGAGAGAGAGAGAGAGGAGAGAGAGAGAGAGAGAGAGAGAGAGAGAGAGAGAGGAGAGAGAGAGAGAGAGAGAGAGAGAGAGAGAGAGAGAGAGAGAGAGAGAGAGAGAGAGAGAGAGAGAGAGAGAGTGAGAGAGAGAGATGAGAGAGGAGAGAGAGAGAGAGAGAGAGAGAGAGAGAGAGAGAGAGAGAGAGAGAGAGAGAGAGAGAGAGAGAGAGGAGAGAGAGAGAGAGAGAGAGAGAGAGAGAGAGAGAGAGAGAGAGAGAGAGAGAGAGAGAGAGAGAGAGAGAGAGAGAGAGAGAATAACCAGTTTCACTGCATATTAAGTTCATTTCCATGTAATTAGATTTCCGACCATATTTGAATATAATACACCACTCCACCCTCTTCCTGTTGAGTAACGTAGATAGGTAAATGAGTCTCAGACATACGTATTCGGCATTAAAATTGTTATTTATTTTTCCAATCAAATGTAATTCACTTCATTGTTTTACATATTACATAGCTATTAGAAAAAAATTCTTTGGATAATTTTAATTTAACGAAGTTTCCCCAACACTCTTTCAGTCATCTGAAAGACTCGTTTCTAACAATATTAAAAGGTCTTTTCTTTTACATTGTGTAATAATTTTTATTTCAAGAACCTTTTTGAATTATTGATATTTTTTATATTAAAAGTTGAACAAGTGAATATTAAACTTTTACGGGAATTTAATTCCATACCTCTATAGGACAGGGTAAAAGTGGCTAGCGGATGAGCCTATAAACAAATGTAAACAGATAGAAGACGTCTGTTGTTGTCGCAAGTCTATTATTTTACAGAATATTTTGATAATTAAGTATATTATGTAGGAAATATGACACGTACAAGTTAATGAATGACCCAGGCGGCTGTAGTCTCACACTAGTGGCCATAAAGCTTAAAAGTCACACGTATTGGAGTGAAGAACAACCTCCGTGGATCTTTATGTATTTGCATGTTTTGTTCTCCATAACTTGATCTTGGTCGGGAATCACAGTATTTATCCTTGAAATAATCTGCACACATACCACGGAAAGCTGGTATTATATTTGGCCGTCGTATGTGATGTAGAGATTAACTATTGCAGATGTAGGATGTCAGTGTTGAGCAATGTTTGCAATCGGAAGAATTGAGCAATGTTTGCAATTAGAAGAAAGTTCTAGTTGTGGCTTTTACAGACCTCTGGAATGTTTGCATTCTCTGATTTGATATTTCCAAGCATGTCCTTTCGGAAGGGGATATCTTGGTTCATATCATGGTTGATATATTTCATTAGCTGTTGATATTTGTCGAAAGTCCTGTCCGGTGGCGAGTGAACCCTTTGCATAATCTAATTAATTATTTGGGCAGTAATTCTTTACAGTATGGATGCGCTTGTCAGAGACCAAGTCCCCAACTCCAAGTCACAAAATTTATTCAACAGTCTATGTTGCCATGACTGTTTTGCACCCTTTGGACTCCCAAGGGGAGGGCAGATGGGAGGCTGTGCCCCCCTACACCCCCTGACAACCTTGTCTTTACCTCAGTATGGACAGCAGGATAAAGCTGAAACTCGGAAGTACTTAGGCTCCAAGCAGCGGTTTCCGTTACTTGGTTTTCCTTTCTTTGTGGCATTATCGTTCATGTCTGCAGATTATTTCTTGTATTGAGGATTGCAACTTTTTGTTCTCTACAAGAATATTATGGGGGAGTGCCCATAGGTCATGCCTAGTCACTGCAACTTATATTGTTGAGTAAATTTTGAATTTGAATTACATTTAAAATTTCTATGCATGTCACTCATCTATCTCATTGAATAGGTCAGTGGCATAGATTTGAAATTAAGATAGTTCTTGAATCTATTTGTAGAATAAGGTTCAGAGTCCTTTTATTTTTTTCAGAACTTAATAGTTGTGACAAGAGCAGCTTGAAGTAAACTAAGAATGAATCGCATTCAGAAAAACAGGTTGGCGCGGCCTCCTGGAGCCCAAGGAGCTGAGCTTGAAAATCAGTTCATTCTTCGCCTGCCCTTGGTAAGTTCTTTCTTCCATTTGGATATTTTATTACATTTTAGAAGTGCAATGTGTATTATGAAGTGTTTCCTTTATTGCATAAGGGAAACTATATTAAAATATACTGAATTGTACTGTGTGTGCTTGTGTATTATCTTGACTGTGAATGAAAAAGGGGATATGTTTGTGCATCAAAATGGAAGGAAACTGATATTAATGTCTATTCTTTTCTCATAAAAAATAAATCATTATCATCATCATCATCATCATCATCATCATCATCATCATCATCGCCATCATCATCATCGCCATCATCATCATCGCCATCATCATCATCGCCATCATCATCATCGCCATCATCATCATCGCCATCATCATCATCGCCATCATCATCATCGCCATCATCATCATCGCCATCATCATCATCAATGTTGCATCTTCATTAAATGATACAGTATTAAAATTTGAATGTATGTGGGTTTGTGTGTATGCACATTTGAATATGTACATTTTCATGTGTACCTTTGCATCTACAATATATTTTCCTTCTTTCTTTATTGACTGTGCATTGTGCTGAGTCAAGAATTCTAATGGAAAGCAGTATTTACAGGCCCAAGCACAAAATTTGAAGGAAGCTATTAAGCAGGGACAGACGAACATCAAAGACCGCCTTTCCATCCAGCTGGACTTCACCAATGACAAAGATGACATGCGTAATGGTATCATCACCTTTGACACCATCATGTACAAAGCAAGGGTGAGGTTCAGGAATGTTTTTTTGCATGATACTGTACATCATACTGAAATGATATCTGTCACCCTTTCACCTCATGAATTATTTTGTTTGTTTGTTTGATATTTTTTTGGTCTGTACTATATATATGTATTTAAAGATCTGAAAGATATTAAGTGCATAAACTCATGATACAATCCTTGTTAACGTAGGGAATAGGAATAACAATTTGCCCCTATCTTTTAAACTCTATACTTTGAGTGTGTGTACCTAATTCATAGTAGCCCATTGTAATGCAATAAGACTAGTTTAATATAACATGCAATTTTATTAAGGTCATGTTATGGCATATGGTGTAAATAATGGCATTATTAAGAAGTGTTCTCAATTATTCTTATTTTCTTGACATTATTTTTCCAGCTTGTGGATATCCCTACAATTATGGAAACCTGGAAGACCATTGATGGCAAGAATTTCTACAAAACAGCTGATGTTTGTCAGGTAAGAGGCTTTATAGTAATGTCCATTTATTTATGATAATATACCTTCTCTTTTTTATATTTCCATAGATTTATTTGCAGAGATAAATCAGATTATTAGACTGGGATTCTTCTTGACCTAGAATATTATGAAGATGTTGATATTTTCTTTTTATCACTGTATTATTACTGTAACCAAGAAAACGTGTTGATAGAATGATATTTGTCAGATGATTCACTATCTGAACATTGACTTTAAAAATCACATCCACTTGGCAATTAGTAAAGAAGGCCTAGAGGCTTTAGAAAGTCAAAATACTTTGTTGGAGAATATATATATATATATATATATATATATATATATATATATATATATATATATATATATATATATATACTATATATATATACATATTAATTATAATAATTAATAATTATACATATATATAACATATATACAATATATATATATATATGTATAATATAACGTATGTATGTATACGTAATGTAGTATACCATATGTATGTATACGTATGTATACGTATGTATACGTATGTATACGTATGTATACGTATGTATACGTATGTATGTATACGTATGTATACGTATGTATACGTATACGTATACGTATGTATACGTATGTATACGTATACGTATACGTATGTATACGTATACGTATGTATACGTATACGTATGTATACGTATACGTATACGTATGTATACGTATACGTATACGTATGTATACGTATACGTATACGTATGTATACGTATACGTATACGTATGTATACGTATACGTATACGTATGTATACGTATACGTATACGTATGTATACGTATATATACGTATGTATGTATACGTATGTATGTATACATATGTATGTATACGTATGTATACGTATGTATACGTATGTATGCGTATATATACTTATATATACATATATATACATATGTATACGTATGTATACGTATGTATACGTATGTATACGTATGTATACGTATGTATACGTATGTATACGTATGTATACGTATGTATACGTATGTATACGTATGTATACGTATGTATATGTATGTATACGTATGTATACGTATGTATACGTATGTATACGTATGTATATGTATGTATACGTATGTTTATGTATGTATACGTATGTATACGTATGTATACGTATGTATACGTATGTATACGTATGTATACGTATGTATACGTATGTATGTATACGTATGTATACGTATGTATACGTATGTATACGTATGTATACGTATGTATACGTATGTATACGTATGTATACGTATGTATACGTATGTATACGTATGTATACGTATGTATACGTATGTATACGTATGTATACGTATGTATACGTATGTATACGTATGTATACGTATGTATACGTATGTATACGTATGTATACGTATGTATACGTATGTATGTATACGTATGTATACGTATGTATACGTATGTATGTATACGTATGTATACGTATGTATACGTATGTATACGTATGTATACGTATGTATACGTATGTATACGTATGTATACGTATGTATACGTATGTATACGTATGTATACGTATGTATACGTATGTATACGTATGTATACGTATGTATACGTATGTATACGTATGTATACGTATGTATACGTATGTATACGTATGTATACGTATGTATACGTATGTATACGTATGTATACGTATGTATACGTATGTATGTATACGTATGTATACGTATGTATACGTATGTATACGTATGTATACGTATGTATACGTATGTATACGTATGTATACGTATGTATACGTATGTATACGTATGTATACGTATGTATACGTATGTATACGTATGTATACGTATGTATACGTATGTATGTATACGTATGTATACGTATGTATACGTATGTATACGTATGTATACGTATGTATACGTATGTATGTATACGTATGTATACGTATGTATACGTATGTATGTATACGTATGTATGTATACGTATGTATACGTATGTATACGTATGTATGTATACGTATGTATACGTATGTATACGTATGTATACGTATGTATACGTATGTATACGTATGTATACGTATGTATACGTATGTATACGTATGTATACGTATGTATACGTATGTATACGTATGTATACGTATGTATACGTATGTATACGTATGTATACGTATGTATACGTATGTATACGTATGTATACGTATGTATACGTATGTATACGTATGTATACGTATGTATACGTATGTATACGTATGTATACGTATGTATACGTATGTATGTATACGTATGTATACGTATGTATACGTATGTATACGTATGTATACGTATGTATACGTATGTATACGTATGTATACGTATGTATACGTATGTATACGTATGTATACGTATGTATACGTATGTATACGTATGTATACGTATGTATACGTATGTATACGTATGTATACGTATGTATACGTATGTATACGTATGTATGTATACGTATGTATACGTATGTATACGTATGTATACGTATGTATGTATACGTATGTATACGTATGTATACGTATGTATACGTATGTATGTATACGTATGTATACGTATGTATACGTATGTATACGTATGTATACGTATGTATACGTTGTCAAGCAGTGTTAGTTTATTATCTTGCAGTAATAAATTGGAGATGGCATTTCTGTTGCGGTGTGCCAAGTGCAGGGGAGAGACATTATGGGGGACAAAATGCAAAGGCAAACACATCTTGGTACTTAGTTACGAAAACAGTTTTATCATATATTATGATTTAGCAGCAGAAATAAGAATATGTCCTTGTTTTTTTATCTCATAGCTTGTGATGCAATATCTTTCAGTTTTGTTCTAATCATTATAATAGGAATGTTCTTAGGTGGGTTATCATTAAATTGCTGCATTCATGCCATTGGTATCGTAACACTATTTTGGAGAATAATATTTGCAGAATGAAAAAATAATAACTACAGTCTCAGCTAATGCAATTTTCTTGTTTTGTTTTTTTTATTTGTGAAATATAATGTTATGTATTTAGGATAGTGGTTTAAATGCTAAAGATTGTATGTGCATTTGTTGTGATCTTGATTGTGGGGGCATTAAATGTATTTAAAAAATCCCATTGGTAACGAAAGTATAAGTGTGGAACTAGAAGATTTATGTTGTTGTATGTCTGTAAATTATTTTTCTAAAATGCTGGAAGTTAGTAGCAGCCTTTTGGTTGTATTTTGATGTACAAATCTTTACATATTATTGAATCATTTGAATATTGTAGATAAACCTATTTTTGCCAACAACAGATGCTGATGGTACGCGAAGAGGAGGATCCCCCAGAGGAAGAGGATCCGAAAAAGAAGCGTCGCGATCCCAATAAAGTTGATAAGAAATACCTCTGGCCCCACGGCTACACGCCTCCCCTCAAAAATGTCCGCAAGAGACGTTTCCGCAAAACTCTACGTAAAAAGGTTGTTTGTTGAGTATGTGCTTGCTGTAGATGAGATTTTTAAATTTTTATTTTATTTTTTATTATATTTTATTTATTTATTTATTTATTTTTTATTGACTGATTGATTGATTTACATGATATAGAGTTTTTTTATGAATTGCTCTTCATGATATGGAGGTGAATTATAATTGATAACAATAATGTTAAGTAAAGTCAAAAACGTATTGTTATTGGATTTGATTTTGATGTTTCGAAATTTTGCAGAATTTAGACCTGCCGGAAATTGAGAAAGAAGTAAAGCGTTTATTGAGAACGGATAATGAAGCCATTAGCGTGCGGTGGGAGGTTGTACGTGAAGAAGATGAGAAGAAAAACAACGCCGACACAAACTTATCGTCTTCTAACTTAGATGGTACGTAGTTTCGTATTTTGGGTTTTGAATAAGTTGTCCTTTAGCCAACAAAAGTGCCTAATCAGTTCTT